TATATATATATATATATATATATATATATATATATATATATATATATATATATATATATATATATATATATATATATATATATATATATATATATATATATATATATATATATATATATATATATGGGCAAATGACGGTCACCTCTGAGGTATGACCAAATTACGAAAAACCTCATCTTGTTTGGATAATTACAACCAACCCCCTCCTTTAAAATATTTTTACATAAAATTTATGTAATTCTTTCATTTACCAAACCAAATCGTATATTTAGTTCGGCAAACGGAATGAAATGTTGGCATACTGAAATTTCAGTTCGGTTTTACTGATTTAACATCCATAAATTTATCTCTAGATGGGTCTTTTCGTAAGATAATACACAGTTGAGGGGTGGCTGTAATTACCCAAACAAAAGGCGATTTTTGTAATTTAATCATAACTCAGGGGAGTGGCCGTAATTTGCCCCAAAAATTAAAATTCAAAATTGATCAACTCGTTCAATAATTCTTACCAAGAATCCACAAACTCTGCCTGTGCATAACCAAAATAAATAATTTCAATTTGGGAGAGAATCAAGAATCATGATTCAAGAATCAAGAATCACTAGATATAGTATATAAAATATTACTAAAGAATCAAGAATCAAGAATCACTAAATATGGTATATAAAATATTACAATGTTGTTCTAACAAGTAGTCGCAATTGCACCAGTTCTACAAATTGGACAAGCACCAGTTTTAACAAGCCACATATCTATACACTCAGCATGAAAAATGTGATTACACTTAGGCAAAATCCTGCATTTTTCACCTGCGCCGAAACTCTCGAGGCAAACCGCACAATCCACAATCCCGACTTCTCCTTCTCTTTCGTAGTTAAAACACGGCAATTCCTTTATACTCTCGGCATCCATGCTCGGAATCCGCACGATCGGAATCGGAATCGGATTCCCCCCGTTGACGGAATCTCTTCCCCCGAAAGCTCTTCCCACAACACAAACATGAATTGTAACCAGAATAGCTATTCCTACTAATAGTAGAATCACAGATATAATTATTTCCATTACCATAATTAATTATGCCTCTTTTTTTTTTACGAGCTAGAAAACGTCGAATAATCGAAGCTTTTGAAGATTGAGAATAATTAATCCCATACCTGATTGCCAAACACTTCCTTATAACAACCTAATTGTTTCTTACTTGCAATAGAGAGAACACACTTCCTAAAAAATTACCCTATCAAATAGATGGTATTTAATTTCATTGATGAGGAAAAGACATGTTTGGTGAGTTCATTTGACATTTTTTTCATTTGATAGAGTAGAATTGAAACAATTTCTTGAAGTAGGAATTATTGAAATTTAAAAAAAAAATAAAAGGAAAAAGAGTTTGGTGGGCAAACAGGAAATTGAAAATGGTATTTTGATACAAGTGGCCTAAGAAATTGTTTTCTTGTGATACATAAAGATGGCCAACCCCTGATGTAAGATTAAATTACGAAAAAATTCCTTTATGTTTGGGTAATTACAGTTAACCCTCAACTATGAATTTTCTTACACGTCCACTCTTATGGTATCAAATTCAACATAATTTTCTATATTCCGTTGAATGTTCACTAGTTTGTACTCGTTTTGTGCACAAATAATATAGTTTATGATGCATTACAATCTAATATTTACAATTCAAGAGACACATCTTATGATCATCTTGTTTTAACATGTGGAGCTCGAATGGGGTAAAACGGGTACAAATTGGAGAATATTCCACATAATCTAGAAAATTACACTAAATTTGACATCGCAAGAGTGAACGTGTAAAAAGATTTATAGTTGAGGTCGTTGTAATTACCTAAACATGAGGGTTTTTTTTGTAATTGACCTTATCTCACGGTTGTCACAATTTACTATGTATATATAATAGTAATAATAATAATAATAATAATAATAATAATAATAATAATAATAATAATAATAATAATAATAATAATAATAATAATAATAATAATAGTAATAACATTATTGTTAGGATAATATAATTAAAGTTGATACTATCTTATGTCAAAATCACATGATTGATCAAGTAATGATTCATAAATTTATGAATGATAACTAGCTAGAGAACTTGGATCACAGACAGAGATACAAAAGTAGTATTATAAATGACTTTAGTTTAAGATCCAAGTTAAGAAAATAAATTAGGAACATACATATATATATATATAGACTATATATTATAATTATTAAATATATTTCAAAATTGAAGTCATGCCCACAAAAACAAATCTAATAAATTATTTTTATATTAGTATAAGTTAATATTTGATATTCTTTAACTATATAGGTATCAAGTTATTTGAAAATTATATTTTCTTCCAAAGATTTCTACCAAATATTTTTATTAATTACAAAAAAGAAAAAAAAAATACATCAATTGAATAATTTAGAGTGATATTTTTTGTAAGAAAATATAGTTTTTTCAATAATTCGTTATTGAAAAACACATTATTAAAAACACATTATTAATTGCAAATTGAGAATGTCATTAGCTTTCCTTTGCTATTTACTTACTGGTATTGCTTAAAAAAAGAAAAAGAAAAAGAAAAATAAAAATAAAAATAAACAAAAGCTCAAAAAATTCAAATGACCATTATGTCATAACATTGACATTGGAGATATAGTTAATTCAAAATATAATCTATTAATCCAAGTGGTAATCATCTGACAATATAGGGATTAATTGTGATCACTAATTAAATTAAGGGCGAATGACAAAAATGTTCATCGCATGGAACTTAAATACATTTTGGCAAAAAAAATACAGTCTATCAATTAAACTCATCCCATATATTTAGTTTAAAATACCCTCTATAATATAATTTTTATCAATTCCACCCATTATGCTCTAACTTCCTTAATATTACACATTGACCCTGGATTTAAACAAATATATCACATTAATCCCCAAATTTTTTTTCTGAATTTTTTTTTCCGGCCAGATTCCGGCGTTGACTTTTTTTTTTTGAAAACTTTTTTTTTTCCTGAATTTTTTTTCCGGCCGGTCAACCACTGTTGACCGCCTGTCTCTGGCATTGATTTTTTTTTTTTTTTTGAATTTTTTTTTTCTTAGAAATATTTTTTTTTAATTAATATTACTATCTTGACTACTAAATTACTGTCTCAGACAGTAATATTACTGTTTGGGACAGTAATATTATGATCCCGAACAGTAATATTATTAATATTATTGTCTAAGACAGTTAAATTATTGTTGGAGACAATAATTTAGCAGCCAGGGCAGTAATATTAATTAAAATAATTTAAAAAAAAAAAAAAGTCAATTAACAGTTAAATTACTGTCTCCGACAGTTAAATAACAGCTGGAGACAGTAATTTAGCAACGAATACAATAATATTAATTAAAAATACTTTTTTAAAGAATAAAAAAGTCAATTAACAGTTAAATTACTGTCTCCGACAGTTAAATAACTGCTGGAGACAGTAATTTAGCAACGAATACAGTAATATTAATTAAAATATTTTTCAAAAAAATCAATTAACATTTAAATTACTGTCTCAGACAGTTAAATAACTGCTGAAGACAGTAATTTAGTAGCAAAGACAATAATATTAATTAAAATATTTTTGAAAAAAAAAAAAGTCAATTTACAGTTAAATAACTGCCGGAGACAGCAATTTAGCAGCCAAGACAGTAATATTAATTAAAATATTTTTTTAAAGAAAAAACAAAATTATAGAAGAAAAAAAAAAGTCAACGGCAGTTGATCGGCTAGAAAAATAATTAAGGGGAAAAAAAATTAAAAAAAAAAAAAAGTCAATGCCGGAGACCGGCGGTCAACGCCGACGACCGACGGTCAACGGCGGCAACCGGCGGTCTCCGGTGGTGGCGGGTCAAAAGTGAAATTAGGGTTAAAATTGGTTAATTAATGAAATTGGGTTAAATTGGGGTGTAAATAATGAAATTGGAGTTGAATTGAGTTTCAATGAATTGTGGGTAATTTTGGTATATATAAAATGATTTTCTTTATTTGCAAATAAGTTTGAATGGACTGGATTTATTTGAAAGACAAAAAAGTTGGATGTCCCTCTTTTAATTAAGTGCCATTGCCATGGGCCTATTTGTCATTTACCCTTAAATTAATTAATCACTTTGTCTTCACGTAGACGTGGTTACATCAACACCTTGATAATTTTTTATGTTTTATTTCATAATAAAGGAACTCGCAGTCAATCATATAGATTCATTGAGTAAATTTACAGTCTCGTATAATAGCTTGCAAACCCTACGAGAGACGTAAATCACACTAGGCTAACCATGTGTGATAAGCTCAACCTATCAACCGTTAGCAAGAAAATTCGAACATCGATCAATTGATACAAGCTCACTTACACCAACTGATAGACCATCTATTACGGGACCATTGATAATTTTATAACTTGTGTAATGCGGGACACACGAATCATTGTAATTTATTTTGTATTCAATTCTTAATTTTTTTAATCAGAAGAACAATTTAATTTGATTAGGCCTTGTTTGGTGGGAAGATTAGACATAATTAATTAAAGGGCAAATTATGGTAATTCATCAGTTATGGTTAAATTAGGAAAAAAAATTCTCCTATTTTGGATAATTACTGTCACTCCTCAACTATGTATTATCTTACGAAAATACTCATTAATAAGTAAATTTAGGCCAACCCCTCAACAAGAGTAATTTTTTTTATAATTACGCCATGCATCATGTGGGTGACCGTAATTTGCCCTTAATTAAATAATTCAATTTTGTTTGATGTGTGTAAATATTTTTTTCATGATTATTTATTGATTAAAAAATAATACAATTGAATATTCATAAACTTATTTAATTTAATAAATAAAATTACAAATTATTATGTTTTTGCTATTTCAATTGTTCCCATTTCATGAATCAGCAAATCCAACGTCAGCATAGAAGAACCGCCTTCTTCCATCGCATGCCACGCAGCATCTCTATACTCCGCCACCTTCCGCCGCACCTCCGCCCCTTCCTCACCTCCCATCATCAGCTCCCTCACCTTCCTCTCCACCTCCTCCGCCATCACCAACCCCCTGACAGAACCCCCCCGCGGCCAGACCCTCAGCCCCGCCCCCGCCTCCTCCACCACAAACCTCGCGTTCAAATGCTGATCCGCCACGAACGGCATCGCAATCACCGGCACGCCGCCGCAGATGCTCTCCATGAACGAGTTCCATCCGGCGTGGCTCAGAAACCCCCCCACGCCGCCGTGCCGGAGCACCCGCACCTGGTCAACCCACTCCTTCACTACAACCCCTCTACCTCTAACCCTCTCTTCAAACTCCACAGAATCAAATTCCTCTAAATCCAACCCACTGTTCGCCGCCGCCGCCGCCGTCCGTAAAACCCACAAGAAACTCACCTCCGATTGCTCCAAACCCTTAGCAATTTCTTCAAACTGCTCCTTCGACAATTCCCCCTGGCTTCCAAACGCCACATACAAAACAGGCTCCCCTAGTTCCAACTTCTCGTCAAGGAACCGGATATAACCCGGCTTCTCCGGCAGCGGCGGCGGCGCCGCCGCCGCCGCCAAACAGAGCGGGCCGAGGCAGTAAGCTTTCGGCCCGATATTCTCGTTCCAGTGATCAACGTAGCGCTTTTCCATCTCGTAGAAGCTATTCACAACAACCCCTTGGCTCATTCTCACGGATTCCATATGCTCGAAAACCATCGCCATGAAAGGCCCGGCGGAGGGCTCGGTATCGTTGAACGGCGGCTCGGAGTCGTTCCTGGTCAACGTGAGATGAGGAAACCCCGGCACCGGGAAGGGCTCGTCGAGAGAATCCACGGCGGCGTGCGGCCTTTCCCGGAGAAATATTTGATACATGGTGAAACTAAACTGCCCCGTCACGTAGAAACACAGCCTCGGGACGCCGAACCGCCGCGCCGACCGGAGGGTCCAGTCGAGGAACACGTCGGATACAATGCACGATACCGGCGGGTCTAGGGTTTCGAGGGCTTGTTCGAAGCTATTCTGCATGAGCTTTGTGGATTTGACGAAGGGGAAGAAGCTGGATAGGGAGGGTAGTTTGTCGACGTTTTCGACCCCCGGGGGGACGCCGTCGATGTTTTCCGGGAATGGGAGTTCGACGACGGAGACGCCGTCGACGCCGCGGAGGGTGGCGCGGATGGGAGGGGAGTTTGCGGCGGTGGTGAAGATGGTGATGGCGGCGGAACGGCGGCGGAGGAGGCGGGCGAGGTAGATGAGAGGGATGGTGTGGCCTTGGGCCATAAATGGGAAGATGACAAAGTGGGGAATTCGTGGTAGAGGAGAAGCTGCCATTGTTGTTCACTGTTTGGTTTGTCGGTTGAGTGAGTGATTGCTCACTTTAATCTTTATAGATAATATAATCCTCACTATTTTATATTTTATATTAGGGGAAATTAGTTGCATAATTATGAGGTAGGGTTGTTTTGTTTTTAATATAAAATTAATTTTGATATGATAATTTTTCGTATAAAATAATACGGTTTATCAAATTCTGAATTTCTTAGCTTTTCATTATTCCATAGTGTTTGATGTTTGGTTATTTTAACATCAACACAATTAAAAGAAAAATATATCGAATTACCATTTCTTATTTTACATAATTCTTTTTTTAATATTTATCTTTTCTAATAATTTGTTTGACTTTTTTTTGATTTTTTTTCTATCTGCTTTTTTCGATCGGCGTTGACCAGCGGTCACCAAATCATAATAATAATAAGGGCAAATGGCAAAAAGGCCCATCACATGGGACTTAAATGCATTTTAGTCCACAAAAAAAACAGTCTCTCAATTAAGCTCATCCCCTTGTCTTTAGTCTAAAATACCCTCAATAATATAATTCTTAACAATTCCACCCATTATGCTCTAACTTCCTTAATATTACACATTGACCCCCGATTTAAACAAATATACCACATTAACCCCCAAAACTTTTTTTTTTCAGAAAATAATTTTTTTTCTGAACTGTTTTTTTTCCGGCCAGATTCCGGGGTTGACCGCCGGAGACCCCCGGTTTCCGGCGTTGAAATTTTTTTTTTTTTTTTTTTTTTTTTTTTTTGAAATTTTTTTTTCCTGCTTTTTTTTTCCGGCTGGTCAACCCCCGTTGACCGCCGGTTTCCGGCGTTGACTTTTTTTTTTTTTTTTTTTTTTTTTTTTTTGAATTGTTTTTTCTTAGAAAAAAAAAAAATTTTAATTAATATTACTGTCTTGAATACTAAATTACTGTCTCAGACAGTAATATTACTGTTTGAGACAGTAATATTATGAATATTATTTTTCCGAACAGTAATATTATTAATATTATTATCTAAGACAGTTAAATTACTGTTGGAGACAGTAATTTAACATCCAAGACAGTAGTATTAATTTAAATAAATTTTTTTTAAGGAAAAAAATTAAAAAAAAAAAAAAAAAGTCAATTAACAGTTAAGTTACTGTCTCCGACAGTTAAATAACTGCTGGAGACAGTAATTTAGCAACGAATACAGTAATATTAATTAAAAATATTTTTTTTAAGAATAAAAAAGTCAATTAACAGTGAAATTACTGTCTCCGACAGTTAAATAACTGCTGGAGACAGTAATTTAGCAACGAATACAGTAATATTAATTAAAAATATTTTTTTTAAGAATAAAAAAGTCAATTAACAGTTAAATTACTGTCCCCGACAGTTAAATAACTGCTGGAGACAGTAATTTAGCAACGAATACAGTAATATTAATTAAAAATATTTTTTTAAGAATAAAAAAGTCAATTAACAGTTAAATTACTGTCTCCGACAGTTAAATAACTGCTGGAGACAGTAATTTAGCAACGAATACAGTAATATTAATTAAAATATTTTTGAAGAAAAAAAAAAAAAAAAAACAGTCGATTAACAGTTAAATTACTGTCTCCGATAGTTAAATAGCTGCCGGAGACAGTAATTTAACAGCCAAGACAGTAAAATTAATTAAAATATTTTTTTTAAGAAAAAAAAAAAAAAAAAAAAAAAAAAGTCAACGCCGGAAACCCGGCGGTCAACGGCCGTTGACCGACCGGAAAAAAATTTCAGGAAAACAAAATTCAAAAAAAAAAAAAAAAAAAAAGGTCAACGCCGGAAGACCGACCTTCTTCTACATTTAACGCCGGAATCTGGCCGGAAAAAAAAATATTTCAGAAAAAAAATTATTTTCTGAAAAAAAAAAAAGTTTTGGGGGTTAATGTGATATATTTGTTAAAATCCGGGGTCAATGTGTAATATTAAAGAAGTTAGAGCATAATGGGTGGAATTGATACGAATTAGGGTTAAAATTGGGGTCAAAATTGAAATTTGGGTTAAAATTGGTTAATTGATGAAATTGGGCTAAATTGGGGTGTAAATCATGAAATTGGAGTTAAATTGGGTTTCAAATGAATTGGGGGTAATTTTGGTATATATAAAGGGATTTTCCTTATTTGCAAATAAGTTTGAATGGGGTGGATTTATTTGAAAGACAAAAAAGTTGGATGTCCCTATTTTAATTAAGTGCCCTTGTCATGGGCCTATTTGCCATTACCCTAATAATAATAATAATAATAATAATAATAATAATAATAATTATTATTATTATTATTATTATTATTATTATTATTATTATTATTATTATTATTATTATTATTATTATTATTATTATTATTATTATTATTATTATTATTATTATTATGGGTAAATTACAAACACCCCCCTGAGGTATGGTCAAATTACAAAAACACCCCTCTTGTTTGGATAATTACAACCACCCCCTCAACTCATCAAATTTAGTGGAATCTTCGAGATTATATGGAATATTATCACTTTTGTACCCATTTTATCCCATTCAAACTCTACATTATGAAGCAAGATAATCATAATATGTGATTTTTAGCTTGTATATATCAGTTTGTGGTGCATCGGAAACTGTATTTTTTACACAAAAAGAGTACAAACTAGAGCACATTTCACGGAATCTAGATGACTATGTTGAATTTGGCACCATAAAGGTGGAGGTATAAGAAAAAATCATAGTTGAAGGGGGTAGATGTAATTATCCAAACAAGAGGGGGGTTTTTGTAATTTGAGCATACCTCAGGGGGGTTTTTGTAATTTGAGCATACCTCAGGGGGTGTTTGTAATTTACCCTTATTATTATTATTATTATAACGCTGGAGACCTGGGGTCAACAGCGGTTGACACGCGGTGAAAGAGGAAATTGTGTCAAAATTAGGTTAATGGTCAAAGTTGAATAATTGGTAAAACTTGAGGTCAATTTGAGATTAATTTGAATTAAATAATAAAATTGAAGTATATTAAAATGTGCGAGGTATTTTTGTCTTTTACACATCTCTTAGCATTGAATTTTTTTTGTAAATTTTTTTTTTATCTTAATACTTTATGAACAAGTACTGAAATGGACTTATTTGTAATAAGAATAATAGTACAAATAATTGTTGTGACAAGGTGGGACTCCAATGCCCCACCAATAATATTGCTTCTTTACGTGATTCACGTGACAATACTCCAACATCAAGATAATGAATTCAAAGTTAATTACTACAAATTAAAAATTAGAGTTAGTACGATTTTTATTTTTATTTTGGTGAATAATAGTGGTCGGAAAGCGATATATCAGAGCTTTAAATATTGGGGAAATGGCAAAAAGGCCCATCATATGGGACTTTTGGTCCACAAGAAAAACAGTCTCTCAATTAAACTCATTATCATGTATTTAGTCTAAAATACCCTCCATAATATAATTCTTATCAATTCCACCCATTATGTTCTAACTTCTTTAATATTATACATTGACCCCGGATTTAAACAAATATATCACATTAACTCCCAATTTTTTTTTTCACAAACTAATTTTTTTTCTGAAATGTTTTTTTTTTCCGGCCAGATTCCGGCGCTGACTGCCGGAGACCGGCTCTCCGGCGTTGACTTTTTTTTTTTTTTTGAAAACTTTTTTTTTCCTGAAATTTTTTTCCGGCCGGTCAACCACTGTTGACCGCCGGTCTCCTTTGACTTTTTTTTTTTTCGAATTTTTTTTTCTTAGAAAAAAAATATTTTAATTAATATTACTATCTTGACTATTAAATTACTGTCTCATACATAGCACCGGCAATTGAGCCGGGCCTGCCCGAAGCCCGATGGCTCGGTTCGATTTTATTTGAGCCGAGCTCGATAAATTGTGAGCCGGGCCGAGTTTGAGCCTTTTTATTAAGGGGCCTTAAGATATAGGTCCCTAGTGACAAAACTTATTTGAACTAAATGACAAGTCAAACAAAACTTTTGCTTCACATCCTTTATAAATTTCATTCCAAAAATGCCCTCCTATACAAAAAATGAAATTTGCACCAAGTAATATTTAAATTGCATTTATCATTTTTTATTTTACATTTAACATTTTCAAAAAAAATTCTTTTTCGTATTTTTTAATTTGTCTAATATAATATTAAAAATTAATATTTTCATATTTTTTTAATTTTCTTTGCATATTCTTAACAACTATTTAGTTGATTTTTATAGATAAATGCAGAATATGAATCACAATATAGTAACCCATAGTTACGTAATCGTTTATAGTCATCTAAGTCATGTATCCAACTTCATAGCACACTCTTAATATATGTATATCACTTGCATCCATAGCAACCCATAGTCACTTGTAGTAATCCGTAGTGACCCACAGTCACTTGTAGTAATCCGTAGACAACTATAGTCATCCTGAAACCCTAGATACGCCCGCTTGAACCTTAGCTCCGATCTTTTGATTCACAACACCGTCAGACCCTATAGACTACTGTAGTCATTTTGAAAATTCTAATTTCACCGTTTTAAACCCGAGCGCTGCCAGCAGACGAATACCGACCACCGTTGAGCCGTCATCACCTCGTAAAAATTAGACACACACGTACCATGAATTCACAACCAACCCTATTCGCCGTCGAAAACGTGCAACAAGCAAACCAACGAAATGTCGAATTAGCAACCCTTCCCTGCTGCTCCATAACTAGACGCACAAACAGTGATGCAATCGCCCCTTCCGCACCAGACCTAGGCGAGTCGAGGTCCGCCGCGCCGCCGAACAAAGCTTTTCCAGAATTGCCGCGCCACAGTTGGTTGCAGATCTGTTGTTCTCTTTTTCAAAACATCAAAAACAGATCTACTAAAGATACATAAAAAGAAAAAAAAAAAAAAAAAAAAAAAAAAAAAAAAAAAAACAAAACAGATCTGTCGTATCAGATTCATCCGATGGCAAAGTGAGTCTTCTCTTCTCCACGTTCCGCATCATCCTCCCGCCGCCCATCATTCTTGCCAACAAAACCTGCCCCCTCGAATTCCAAATTCGATCTGGTACTCGTCTTGGTATGAAACTCTTTCCTCTTCAGCCCCGTTCTGAACAAGTCAACACTATAGAAAGAGAGAGGGGTGGGACGGTTGAAAAAAGAAGAGAGAAAACCGTGGTAGGG